TTTCATGAGCGATGGCGGCTCTATACAAACACAAACACACACACACACACACACACACACACACACACACACACACACCTCATCATAAGCTTCACTCCTTCGGAGCTTGGCCTGTATGGGTTCCAGGCCACAACAGAGTTGCTAATTTGACTAGTGTTAGTTTATGTGATTTCAATTAGACATAATTCCATTTAATGACATATCATCACAGCTAATGATTGTTACAAGAGATAGTTGAAGTCTTTTTTCATTTGAAATGAGAAGCCCAAGCATCTTTTTAATGTAGAGACATAGGAGAAGTGCTTGGTTTGATCAGTAAGTTTTGTTCTTACTCTTTTAAACCAACTAGTAGAATTCTGCATAGATAGAAATTGACGTGAACTGTGTATGTTAAATGAATAATAGGAAACATTTACTGAGGATTTCCTCTGGTGCCAGGCATTTTCTAAGGACTTCATGGTAATTCATTTGATTCTCTCAAAAAAAAATCTTATATTGATCTATGTAATTTATTCCCACCTCCCAAGTGAGGAAACAGAAGTTGAAGTACTTATCCAAACTCCATCAGGAACACAGGAAGCCTAACTTCATCACTAAGCGTCAGTACTTTGCACTATCCTACCTTTTATTAAACATTTTAAATTTGTTTTGATGTTGGCAAACCAAGCACACACAGCAACAGTGTTGTGCTAAACAGCCTTTACAGAGATTGAATTCACCAAACCCTAGATGATCATCACAGTAAAAAAGTGATTTAATTATGGAACCAGGGCATTTTGGACATAAGAGAAAATGGAGAGACCTTTTTGGACCTTATCTAATTCTTCTTATCAATTAAATCAGCCCCTCTAAACTAAAATTTTCTTTACTAATTGTAGATATCTCATCACATTATCCAGCTTGGTAAGTCAACATTTCTAATATTTTTTAAGATGAAACTAAGATATTATAATAGTTTAACTGATCTCTGCTTTTAGCTAATCTCCCTTACGACAGCAAGAGGAATCTTTTTTTTTTCTTCCACCCTTACCTAGATGTCATGCCCTTGCATTAAACTTTCAATGGTTTCCCCCGTTGCCTGGTCAGTGGTTCTCAGATTTTTTGATTTATCATGGTGATAGTTGCAAAACTCTGCATTTACTAAAACCAATGAACTCTGCATTTTAAATAGGTGAATTGCATGACATGTGAATTGTATCTCAACAACTGTTTTTTTAAAATGTATATGGGAATCAAAGCATCTGGAAGCCATGGCATACTATGTGTGGCACACCATTTGGAACCATCAGCAATTTTACTAGTAGAAAATAAAACCATAATATATGTTTATATATTATATAGTATATCTATAATATTCACAATATATTTATAACATTAAAATTTACTACAAAAATACCTACAAAAACAGCAGTTATCTAAGATTATTGAGAATTTCTAACATTTGTCTTTCATATTAAATTGCCATTTATTGGGTTGGGGATATAGCTCAGTAGTAGAGCACTTGCCCCTTTTTTTCAACCTGGTGTTAGATAATGATGTTTCCACTTTCTCCTCTTACTACATAGCCTCACTGCTGTCCTAGTAAGTAGCTAAGAACTTTCCAGGCACATCCTGTGTCTTTGTGTTCACATGCCTTCCCTTTCCTGGGATATTTCCCTAGAAGTCCCCTCTTCATGTAGCCCTTCAAGGCTCACCTAACTTTCTTTTTATCTCCCAGCTTCTCTTATCCAGGAAAGCACCATCAGAGCAGGAAAAAGTATACATCTTACTAAATGCTGTATTTCTAGCACAAAAATTCAGCCTGGTACATAGAAAAAGCTCCCTAAACAGCCCATTCTGTTTCTTCAAGTCTCGATGCACAGACCTATCCTCAACACATGGTGCTGAGATTGTTTTTCAGTGACTCCACTCTCAAAGCCTCCTTCCCTGGCCACCTGTGAGCTCTTGAAGGCTAAAATTATGTTCTTATCACATACTAGATGCTCAATAAATAGTCAGTATATTTAGCCAGGCAAGATAGTAATTCTAGCTACTTGGGAGGGTGAGGAGGATCACTTGAGCCCAGGAATTAAAGACCAGCCTGGGCAACATACTGAAAACCTGTCTCTTTAAAAAGAAAAAAAAATCTGGTATATTTAGATAAATTGAAACTATATTGTATCTGGCACCATGGCACACGCCTGTGATCTCTGGAGGCCAAGGCAGGAGGATCACAAGTTCAAGGCCAGCCTTAGCAATTTAGTAAGGCCCTAAGCAATTTAGCAAGACCCTGTCTCAAAAATTTAAAAAGGGCTGGGAGTGTAGCTCAGTAATCAAGATCCCTTGAATTCAATCCCTGGTACAAACAAAGAAAAAATTAAAAAAGAATAAACTTACCAGAACAAGAGCCAAAGGGATTTCTAAGCTGAAGAAATCCAGCCCCATGACAGAAGGTAGGGCATGAGCACCCTAGTGGGTCTGGTGTGTGGTTTCAGTGTCCAGCTCCTGGCTGGAAGGCACAAGCTGGCAGGAGAAGGGAAGAGTGTGCTGGTCCTGGCAGCCTTCCTAGCCTGGACATTACAACAGGAGCAACTGGATCAGATCCGTTTCCCCCCACCCCACCTCGCCCCCTGCCCCCAACACACAGCTTGTTGACTCTATAAGAGAGTTGACCGGATCAGGTGTGACATGTGGACAAAAGCCAGTGGGACATGAGGAATCCTGATGAGAACCAGCTTGAGACCTAGGGTTGCGTTCTAACTAGTGAGCAATCAGCCAACACTAGTGCTATATAAACTACACACTACGCAGAAGTAAGAATGTGGTAGAACTAACAAAGCTGGTTTGCTGGGAAGGCCAGTATCATTCACTTTTTAAAGAGTCCTGGCCTCTGTGAAGCCCTCCCTGATTTTCCCAGCCTAAAAGGGTCCCTTTCTTTCTCTCTCTCCTCCCTCTCTCTCCTTCTCCCTCACCTTTCCTTCCTTGCCCCTCCCTTGCCCCTCCTCTTCCCCCTTCTCTCCCCCTCCTCTGATATCTTCCAGAGTGTCTAATTCTGTGCTTAGGACACTTCGCAACTTTTGGCTTATGCTGTAGTTGTTTGTCCTCATTCCTGGTACCACCTTTTTTCATCTTGCCTAATTTTACAAGCTTTTATCTGATACAGTGCAGCTTTAAAAGACACCTCGGAGCAAGACAAGGTACAAAGCAATCAAGAATAAATATTGTTAAATTTTTGCTTGCTTTGGCAGCACATATACCAAAATTGGAATGATACAGAGAAGATTAGCCTGGCCCCTGCACAAGGATGATACTCAAATTTGTGAAGCATTAAAATAAATAAATATTGTTAAATATTAAGTTTCAAGAGTCGAAAAGTCACGTCCCACTCACCTTTACAAATCCCACACTATTATGCAAAATATTTGTTGTTGCCTAAATCATATAGTGATAACAATATGGCAAAAACGTACCTTGACTTTTAAAGAAGTTGACATTTACTAGAATATTTATATAGATGTCTATCTTGAATTCTTTTAAATTTTCATCCCTCTAGAGCATGCCCCCACTATCTGTCATTTTTTTTCTAGATTTGATTTGCCAAATTTTCATCCTTTAAATAGTCATTTTTTTGGAAAGAAGCCCCTAGATTTAATTGTTATGCCTTTTCCTCCCAAAAAAAGATAGGGTTTAGGGGTGTAGCTCAGTGGTAGAGCTGCTTGTCCAGCATGTGTGAGGCCCTGGGTTGGATCCCCAGTACTGCAGAAAGAGGGAGAGAAAAGGGGGTGAGGGAAAGAGGTTGACTTACTTCAAAGTATAAAGTAAAAATACAAATAAATAAAAATATCTGACAGTCACTGAGACACAATTTTATAAAGAACATTAGCCATAAGTATAGTATAATGAATTATAAAGGTTTGCTGACCTTTTAATGGGGGAAATAACCAAAGAAACAAAAATATTTTAAAAACACAGCATCATAAAAAAATTAAGAATTTCCACTTGAACATTTAATTTTTCAGCCCTCTTTGAATTTACATTCAAAAATCTCAATGTTGTGCTGCAGTTCATAGACTAGCCATTCTTTCATTGGAAATATCCACAACGATCAGTCCCTTATACACAATTAAAAGGAACATTTCCAGTTAGTTATACAGTACTTCAAAGCTAATATTTAATCCTAATTGGCATCAAGTTTAGTGCAAATAAAATTATATTTAGCAGCTTAGGGAATTTCTGCTGGGGAGGAATTTTTCTCTTAACCCTTATGACTTCCCCAGAATGAAATTATTCCCCTCTTCTATCAATACCAATGTTGGCCATTCAAACCTATTGAAACTACTAATAATAATTCTGTGGCACAGGGAGTTTCCCTGAAAGATGGTTTCAGTCACTATGCAAATGAGCCACATGCTTTATACATTTGGAAAGTTCCCTTTGGGTTGATACAAAAAGCAGGGCCTAACTGACATTCATTTCTCTACACGGAGTAGAATCAAGGTTGAAGTTGGACCTTACCCACCTACTTCTCTCATCAGTGAAGAAACCCAAAAGAGGGAAGGCACTCATTGCTCTGTGCATTAGCTATCACAGGTTCAATTGAGAAGATTCAGGCTCAAGGCTGAGGAATCTCTTAAATCAAATTGTACTCACCAGTAATAATTTTATTACACTGATTTGAATGCCAAGAAAACATATCAAGAAAAAGAAAGCCATCTGATTTCAAACCTGGTACTTTCCATGTTCTGCCAAGATTTATTCTCCAAATTAATAGATGCCAGAGAGCTACTAGCCAGAGAAGGGTTTTCCCCCCCTGAGTTTTGGCATTCTTTGAATTGCTTCTTTTTTTGTTGGACATCTGTTACCTTTCTAGCCAAGGCCTAGGATTGCTGCTTCAGAAAACAATGTAGCTTACTGCGCCTAAAATTTCCACTGGCAAAGGAAATGGTAGAATACCTCCTGAGTTGTGAGTGCTGGCTTTGCCACTTGGCTAGGCTTCACTGGCCCAAGAACATGAGCCTTCACAAAGCTGAGATGGCTCCTAAGGTCCACTGTGCTGACATGAAACCCAGGGAGGCCATTCCACTTGACCTCTCTCTTTACCAACCCCTCAGCTGGTTTTCTATTCTCCCTGAATTCTCTGAGTACTCAAAGATGAGAGTGTGGTTGCTGCATGTTGGAGAGAGGGGCCCACCTCAGTCACTACACTCTTCTACCCGTGGAATAGGGAATTTCTCATACTGGTTGGCCAGTTTCCATTTGTTGTGCTGACTTTTGAGTAGTGCAGCTAAGGAAGTCTTTCGGGTGACATTTCTAGATACTTCCCGGCTCTTGGCCTTCCTAGTGGGGGAAGAGCTTTGGACTAAGGGATATACAGAGAAAATGGGCTTGCCCCGAGGAGCTCCCAGCAGCTGCCATATTTCCCCAGAGGTATTACTGGTCAGATATTGCCATGGTTTCTTTCCACTGCTGTCCCGGACATTCACCCGAGAAGACAACTTTTGCACTAGCAGTTTGATGACTCCCTGGTGGCCATGAATGGCTGCAAGGTGTAGTGGGGTATACCCACAACTAGACTTCACATTTACATCAAGCACAATCCCTGTCTTCCGTGCTCCTGAGACCAAGTCCTGAAGGGCCTGAAGGTTGCCATGTTTAGCTATCCAGTGCAAGGCAGTGTATCCAGTCAAGAAGTCTTTGTGCAAAGCCAACTGAGGGTCCTCCCAAAACAGTGTCAACACCTGAATCCAAGAGCCACTGGCAAGCTTCACAATCCATTCATGCTCCCTGGCATCTAGGGGGACCAGTGATGACTTGTGCTCAGAAGTTCTGTGGGGTACCAAGGCGACAGACCCATTCCCACTGGAGACCCTAGTGTCTGCCAGTTTCAGTGTCAAAGCTGCATCCACCCTTGGGCTGGGCATTGTTCCTGCCTTGGAAGGTTTCCTGGGGCGTGGTGGGCGACGACTCCTTTTCAGCAAGTCCTCATCAAGGTACTCTTCATCAGAGGAAGACAGTTTGGCCTTCCCTGCCCTAAAGCTCCTTCTGAGAGACCTCCTTAACTTGGGAGCTGGCCAAGGCAAAGGCTCCTGGGAGTGGTGTGGGGGGCCTTTAGCCCCTGTTGGAACTTGTTGAGAGGTATGACCGGAAAAGTTCCCTCTGTTCCTGAGGCCCTGAGGACTCTGAGGGCTGCCTTTCTTTGGAGGTACAGATAGGCCCCCAGCTGGATTCCTGAGCTTTCCCCAAACTGGGGTTCCCAAGGCAACTTGTAACCCCTCTTCAGAACCCCCAGGGGACTCTTTGGGCCCACTGCTGCTCTCCTCACTGCCATGGCTCTCCTGGTCCACAAAGTCATCCAGATCTTGGAGGGATAACTGACAACGAATGCTACGAAAGACAGCCTGTGGAGGATTCCCTGGCCACGAACCTGGGGACTCTTCAGGAACCACAGGAAAGAGAGAATGAGAGGAATGAGGGAGCTCTGACAGCGGTGATTTAGTCTCTAAGTTTGGCTCCAAGGGTATCCTGAGAAAGTTGTCCGGCAGCACTGACCAGGCCCGAATGGGACCCTGGTCCCGGGTCTGGGGCATCTGAGGGTGTCTGGCTACCCATTCTCGAGTGCGCTGCTGCTGCAGTTGCAGAGTGGAATGGTGCAGGGAACCTGAGGTCAACAGCTCTGGTCGGTCTCCTGGAGGGGTGGGGCGGGGCAGGAGAACTGCAGGAGATACCCTGCACTCAGCAGCTTCGGTGATGGCGGGAGGCGAGCGGGGCGTTGCAGGCACCCGCGAGGGCTCACCCCGCGCGCCTTCAGGCAGCTGCCTTGGAGCCCCGCAGTCATCCTGAGCAGGCTGAGCTCGCGCGGGCTTCTCCTTGGCAGTGGCAGGGTCCAGGAATGCTCCGAGTGGCGGCACTTCCGGGAGCTCCCCCAGGCTGTTCTGGAGACATTCCCAGCAGCAGCGGCCCTGCGTCTCCGCCGCCGCGCACCTGGCTGCAGCTGCCGCCTTAGCCACCGGCACCGGAGCCCTTCGGCCGGGGCTGAGCCTCTCGCCGCCGTCTTCCCTAGTCGCTTCCCGGGTTCTGCTGGCCAGGAGTCCATTGCAACCTGCGACCTCGGCTAGGGCTGCGGTACCTGCTGGCTCCTCCTCTGGCTCCTTGTCGCGCCGCCGCCGCCGCCGAGACTGCGGTGGTTGAGGCTCCCCGCGGCGTGCGCTCGGCGGGGAGCTGGGCGCAGTTCCCCTTGCAGGGGCAGCGGCAGCAGGCGGCTCGCGGGGTCGCTGCAGCCCCTCCTCCCCCAAAAGGTCCCTATACCTCCTCTTGAGCACAACGTACTTGGTGCCGTCGGGGTCCTGGCGCACTGCGGCGACCGAGTTGACGAAGCCTTTGAAGAGCTCGCGGCGTTGCTGATGCTGGCTGGGGGAGGCGTCGGGGTCTCGGAGAAAGCTCTTGAAGTGGCTCAGCAGGGCGGCGTTGGTCACTCGGCCCCCAGCCTGGCACAGAAAGTCCAGTAGTGCCTCCTGGCTCAGCTCTAGGGCCATCGCTGCCTTGCCCCTTGCCCACGAGGAGTCTGCGTCTTGCCCTCCCAGTGGTCTTCCCTTCCAGCAGGAACCCTGGCCGCGAGAGTGTCACCTGCGCCCTGGGCGGCACCACCTGCCTCCATCAGCCGCTGAAGCCAGCGCTGCCCGCAGCCAACGAGCACGCCAGGAGGGCCGAGGGTCCTCAGGGGGCAGCCCCCAGGCTGAGCCCCGGCGCGCAGCCCGGATGGGAGAGGGCGGCTCCTCTGCGGCCCCAGCGCAGCGCGGGCCTCTAGCTGCGAGTCCCCGCACCGAAAGTTCCCGGGATAGGTCGGAGTCGGTTTCACCTGCCCTGGAGACGCCTCCTCCCTGGCTCTGGGGGAAGGGCCCGGCCCGCCTCCTCCTGTCCCTCCGCCCTCTGAGGTCTCCCCCACCCATCCCGGATGAGTCAGGCTGGTTAGAGGCGCGGAGAGCACCGGTAGGTGAGGTCGGGAGTGAACCTCGGCGGGCCGCGAACCTCTCGGTAGGACGCGCGGTCACTCCTGGCCCGGGAAGTGGAAAGCAGGTAGGCGACCGGCCGCTCCTGTGAGTCCCCGCCTGGCAGGAAACAAAAGCAATCCAAGGTCGGTTCCTGCCCTCTCCATGCGCAGTCCAAGTTATGACCCAAGTCGATGGGGGCGGGGAGTTGTCAAATTAACAGGCCGTCTGCGATTTCTCCAGAAGGTGCCTTTCCGTTTTACCAATGTCAGGGAATAATTTCAGATTCCCGGGGGCAGTACTGAAATCCAGGGAACTTAGGTTGCGTCCAAACCAAATCTTTCCTGATATGGAGATACAGATGTGGCTGCTCCTTGGGCTACGGCTTTATGGTGTCCAAATACACCAGCCGGTGTCTGTACTGAAAAAGAAATGACTGAAAATTACAGGCTAATATTAGTATCTGCCTTTCTTTTTCCTACATAATTTTCTCACCTTAAGATGCAAGGAAAAAAAAAAAACACACAAAACTTGAATTATTTATTGTCTTGGGAGCCCAAACCAATAGGAATTGTGTCTCAGCCAGTTCTTTAGGATTATTTTGTTTATATTTAGTCTAAAATGTGTGAACAGAAGAGATTCACGCATTGTGTTTAGGTTGGTTTAACTGGCGAAGTCTTTGCTTTTGTAATGTAAGTTTCCCTCCATGCTCAAAATGCTGAAAATACAGACAGACTAGGCTGATTTGACCCCACTGTTCCTAATGTTAGATAGAATGAAGGCTTGACTCTAATTCTCCATTGAAGGACTATGAACTGTACCCAATTCAAGACCATTTGTAAAGAGCTGACTTTGTCATTATCCTCTTCAAGATGGTAGAATTACAGCACTCTCTCCCACCCCCAACAGCTGTTACCTTTTCTCTGTCCACGTGTTGATCTATTTAGTCTTTGAGATCCTGTGTGCCTCTCCCTGTTCTTTATCAGCCCTGTTCACAAGCCCACTGAGCTTTTCAATGTTTAATCAACATATTTACCTATTTTCACTCCAAGCCCTCTCATTCTTTAGGTCAGCCTTCCTATTTCTTTTCAATACAAGACAGTCTTATTTACCTTTCAGCCCCAGCTGCCACAGCACATGTCTATTTCTTAGAATCCTCTCATAACTGCTGCATTTCTCATTATAAATTCTCCTCTCCTGTCATTTGACACTCTTCTCTCTTGTACTCCTCTCGTTTTTCCACTTTTCTTCCTTTTCCTTCTGTTTTGCATGAGCCCCAATTGTTTTTGCCAAGATAAAGTATTGAAAGTATGCTGACCCTACAATAGTCAAGATATTTTAGCATGGACCAATCTTAGTAACTGCCATATAGGCCACATTAGCTGAGCTTTATTTAAAATCTCCAACACTACCCCTGGTACTTTTCCATGAATGAGTTGGAATCTCTGGCTTTAAATTATCTAGGTCAGAAAGAAGAAATGGAAATATTTATTTATTTATTGAAGTACTAGGGATTGAACCAGAGTCTGACAACATGCTAGAAAAGTGTTCTACTACTGAGCTACATCCCAACTTTCGTTTTTGTCTATTTTGGGTATTTTCTAGAATTTAAATCCAATAGTGGGTTGAGGGGGGAAATTGTTTCCACAGATATCTCCACATAACATCAAGCCTTTAGGATAGTTATTAAAATAAATGTTTTGTATTAAACTTCAGCTTTCTTTTGTATTTATTTCCTAGTGTTGAGTCTTGGTGGAATTAACAGAGGTATAACCACATGTAGGGCAGGAGGGAGTCCAAATGGAAAACGCAGGTAGGTATTTTAGAGTGGCCAGGTTTTCTTTTCTTTCTTTTTTTCCTTTTTTTTTTTTTTTTTTGTACCCAGGATTGAACTCAGGGGCACTCAACCACTGAGCCACATCCCCAGTCCTATTTTGTATTTTAGACAGGGTCTCATTGAGGTGCTTAACACCTCGATTTTGCTGAAGCTGGCTTTGAACTCTCTGGGATTACAGGCATATGCCATAGCACCCAGCTTCTTCGTAGGTACTCTTCAAAACATCAAAATAAAAGACTTGCTGCAAAGTCATAAAGAGAATGAGGCTTGGATTTGAAGTACTTAAAAAAAAATTAGAGGAAGTGGGGGGTCATCAAAGATGTGATTGTTGAAATCAGGGTGGAATTACTTGTGGATTGAAGGTCTGCAGAAGTAGAAAATAGGGAACAAAAATTAAATTGTTCAGTTGCTTCAGATTTCTGGGCACCCTGGTGGTTAAGCATCCAGACCTCTTCTCCTCTTTGTCTCTCTTGTTCCAGGATAAGGGGATTCTAATTAAGAATGTTCTGTACCTTATAGCAGGAAGTATTTTCCTGCTTCCCTCATATCTAGTTCATTATTTCCAAAAATATTTATGGAACAACTATCTTGTGCCCACACTGCTGGAAATGGCTATAAAGAAGAAAGTGAGCTTGAGAACTCTCTTTTACATTGGGAGCAACAGACAAGATAAATGTCATGAACCTGACCACTAATACTTTCTCTTGGCAAGTGATTTAACAAAGGCATACACCATGTTTGGAAGTTGAAGGGAAGTATTAAAGGAAGAACTGAGGCTCAGCTTGGCAGATCAGGACAATTTATCAATAAGAGGCATCTTTGAGTAAAGGTGAGAAAAACCTTTAAAGTAGAAGACACATTGGTGCAAAGGCAAAGAGATCTGACTTGGCTTAGCTTAGCTGTTTGGGGGAACTAACTGAAAAGAGACCTGCTTGGCCTGCTTAGCCTTAAGAAAGAGAATGTATGATGTTCAGGAAACTGTAAAAGTAAGGCGGCAGTCAGAATGAAAGTTTTAGGGGAAGGAAAACAGAGCCTTTGAAGAATTTTCCAGAGGGTAGCAAGCTGACCAGATTTGTTTTTTAGAATGGCCTCCTGGAGGTAAATGTTGGTTTGAAATCATGAACAATATTAATAAGTAAAAAGAACACATTGCAGAGCATTGCTGTATTTAACCAAACCCAAGACAGTATTGATTGCTTGACACATTTTGATTTTAGAGATATTCAAATGAAAAAAGTACTTCTTAAAATAAAATTATAGCATGTTTAATAAGATTCTATTTTTATTATTTTTACTTTTTATTGTAATGGGGATTGAACCCAGGGATACTCTACCACTGAGCTATATCCCCAGCCCTTTTAATTAATTAATTTATTTTCTTAATTTTGATACAGGATCTCCCTAAATTGCCCAGGCTGGCCTCAAATTTGCAATCCTGTCTCAGCCTCCTGAGTTACTATGATTTGAGGCATGTGTCATCATGCTGCCAAGACTGTTTTAGAAAAAGAAATGTGTATTTGGGGATTAGATTTGAGGACTGCCTGAGGGGTGACTTTAACTTTTTAAAAATAGCCTTATAAACTATTTGAGTATTTTACAATGAAAATATATTATTTTTTTTCATTTGAAAAGGCACTCAAGAACCAAGCACACACTTGTAATCCCAGGTACTTGGGAGGTAGAGGCAAGAAATTTGCAGGTTTAAGTCCAGCCTCGGTAACTTAGACCCTTTCTCAAAATAAAATAAAAAGGGTTGGAGAGATAGCTTAGTAATAGAGCACCCCTGGGCTCAACTCCTAGTACCACAAAAGACAAAACAACAACAACAACAACAACAACAAAACCCTGACATTCAAGCAAATGACATGAATGAACAAGAAAATCAGATCTTTAGGCGCTGGAGGAGGGAGGGGAGGGAGGGGAAGTTGCCAGCAGGGAGAATAATCTAGAAGTTACTAAAAATCCCAGGAAAGGGATAAAAAGGGTTGAGTTCAGCAGTGGCTGAGAAAGGGAAATGAACAGATGAATTTGAGAGATATTTACTAGGTGAATTCAGTAGCATTTGAAGCCAGAGGATCCTACCTATAGGATGAGGATCCTGCTTGGCTTACTCCCATGCACCCAGGCTGAGTAGCTGAGTGGATGCCTATTAGCATCTATCTACCTGGATAGAAAATGTAGGAGGAGTAGTTCTTGGAAATAGGATGATAATTTCAGTTAGGGGTATATTAGGTTTGAGGCTATAAAAATAGAAACATCTAAAAGTCAGTTGGCAATGTAAGTTCTGGGCACCAAGGATGTATGACTTTATCACGTATAAATGATTATTTAAACCATAGGTGAGGATAAAATTACTTATAACAATACATGTATATATGTGTATATATTTTCATATTAATATGTCTGTATATATGTATTTATATATGTAAATATCTATGTATATGTACACACACACACACACATATATATATATACATACACACAGTGGGCAGGGAAGGTACAGACACTGAATCCACATTTGCCAAAGAGAAAGAGGAACTGAGACCTGTCAAGGAGACTTGGAAGGCTCAGCTAGAGGGAGAGAGAAGCACCATATCACAGAAGCACAGGAGCAGAAGGAGGAACAGCTTTCTGGAGATGCTGCCAGGGGAGATAAGAAGTGAAATAGGACCAGAACCCGTCAGGTCACTGGGGCTGATCTGGAACAGTT